TTAACTGTGTTAAGACGAACTAGGGTCTTTAGTTCTACGAGTTCTAACCTTTACGGCTAAAATCCGTCATCAGACTGTCACGAACCAGCTTCATTCCCTTTGTATTTCATTGGTAAGATTTAAGTTCCAATTGAGCAGCTTCTTCTCATGAACTGCTGCTTTTGTGGAGCCGACTTCAAAGAGGATCTTTCTTTTCGATCACCACAATCTTAACCTGTTCAAGTCTAGGCTTACCTGTTATCATCTTCCTCACATATCATCATAAACTGTACCCCTTACTTTGTAGCACTCTACCTTGAGACCGAGACTAGTACAAGGTAAAAATTACTGTAAAAGAAATATATATACATATATATACTTATATTGAAAACTTAAGATTTAAAAGTGAAGCAGATATTTTTATATAGTGCTCAATATTATAAAAATTGAGTATTGATTATTTTTTATGTATCAGTCAGTGTATCACGCCCAGGCGATCATGTATCTTTCGATACACGATTGACGAGGTAGATTTTTTTTCCCGCAGTAGGTTGCCATTTCTTTCGGTGGTAGACCAGTTGCCATCCTAGGCTAAAGAACCCGGTCTGTCCTGCTATTTAGCCATAGCTGGGGGAAGAAGAAGAGGATTCACATTTTTCCCAAGGGTATTAGCACGTAAGTGACTGTAGTGGAATCGACTGGAATTCGAACTTGGCTCTCCGATTCCTCAATCCGAGCCACTATCCATTACTCTATTACTTTTGTATACTATCCGTATACAAAAGAATATTACAGTTAAGTAATGTGTTTTCATATATAAAAAATAATATCATATAGTGATATGTTTTTTTAATCTCGATCTATAAAAGGCAGGGTGTGTGTGTGTGTGTGTGTGTGTGTGTGTGTGTGTGTGTGTGTGTGTGTGTGTGTGTGTGTGTGTGTGTAACGAATCCTCGGCCGCAATTTTCGACGGATTTGCACCAAAATTTACATGCACATGCTCCAAGTTAGCGAGAAGGCCAAGACCGACTTTGCATTTCCCAACTCCCATCGATAGTGGAAATAATCGATTTTTTCATGCTTCTACAGCAGTTGTCATGTAGTTTGCGGCCATTTTGTACTGGCCAGAGTGAGAGCCTATAGCTGGCTGCCACGAATAGGCAGGAAGATTCTATTGGCCAGCGTGAGAGCCAACAGTTGATGACACGAATGTTAACTAGAATGCTAGCAGGCAAAAAAGATCGATAGCTGCATTCGTCACAAGTGGGAAAAATTTAAATCTGCATGGCACTTTACTCTAATTGGCTCATTCGCTTGCTTAAACTCAACGTTGATTCTGATTCCGCAGAACTGGGTTGGGTGTGAAAAAATATTTGTTGTTAACATTCTTTTTTCATTCGGTTTTTCCAGTTATGAAAAAGCTGATCGTTTTGTGTTGATTTTGTTTAGTTCTTTTTTCGTAACAGATTTAATGTTTAGTGTACAGCTTAGAAAAAATTCGCAGTGTGAGATAGGCAAGAAGTAAGGCATGTAGCAACATCAGCACGGCAAACGGCACTCCTTTAAAGGCAAGGAAGGGCAAAAATATTTTAAGTCAAGTGATAGCGATTGCTGTATGAGTCGTACGATTTTTGAATCAAGGACGGGCATCGCCGGGCCATGCTGCTAGTGATAAATAACTGTGCACCTCAGTTTGTAATATCTCTCCTGATTAAAAATATTAATAAGATTTGCGTGTCGATTTTATTTTGCCCACATACTAAATTACATAAATAGAATTTATAAATTACATGAATGAAAGGTCTTAAAAATATATTTGGCCAACACAATACCAGAGTATAATTATATAGAGTATAATTAATATATTATTAAGCATGTTCTTGTGGTCTTCCTGAATTTCTGTAACTTTCATGAGACCTTCGTTTATTAATTTTATTAACTTTTCTACTGTTTCGACATTATCATCAGCTACACTATTACTGTTTTTTCGGAGATCTGTTTTGCTTGAATATTGTTTTTCATTTTTGTAAACTCTTCTTTTAATAGCGGATCATAGATTTTCTATTAGATACAACATTACTTTTCATTTGAAAGCAATTCACCCCAAGCAAGGCGTGAGTGCCCCTAGCACGCAGGGGGTTACAGAGGATGTTTGAGGAAACGATACAGAAAAGGGCGGGGAACAAGATGAAGGTATCAGATGTCGATTGACATTACACTTGAATATTTGAAGATTATAGTTATCGAGGAAGGAAGCAAGCAAGTGAAAGGGAGTTCCACAAACGGGAAGGGCGAGAGAAGAGACGATTGCATTTAACTGTTTCGACATTGAAAGTGTGGGATCTAGATGCCAGCCTAGTAGCTCGCTTAAATTCATAAACCAGCGAAAGTAGTTCATCAGAATAGTTGCCATGAAAATACATACAACATAGTTTTTGCTTCCCAGAGATCTTTATTTGTACAGTAATACCTTGAGATACGAGCGTACCGACATACGATTTTTTTTTTTTTTTTGTGATACGAGCCAGAGTTCAGGTGATTTTTGTCTTGAGATACGAACTGAAATTTTGCGACACCATGAGTTCTATTTAAGAATCCGCTAATTGGCGCAGGGAGCCTCAAGCTTTGAGAATACACTCGCTGTACACGTGTTCCCTTCACCCTGGAAGTGTTGTGTTTTTTTGTGGCTTTTTTGCCGTTATTTTACAACATGGACCCAAAGAAAATAAGTTTAAAGAGTAGTTATGAATTTTTAGTGGCCTGGAACGGAATTAATTTCAATGGTGAGAATTGATTTGAGATACGAGTGTTTTGAGTTACGAGCTCGGTCTTGGAACGAATTAAACTCGTATCTCAAAATATTACTCTATATTGCTTTCCATTTTCATACACATCTCCTTTAATTGAGCCTTTACAAATTTTCTGTTGGATTAGAATCAGAGGAACCAGTTCATTAATTTGGTGTACTTGATTTTTTTTTAATTCTTTTAGGAAGATGAGGAATACTGAGCAGAATATGATGCAGTTGAAAAATTGTTTGTAAATGTCCTGTCCAAGAACTTACAAGAATATTCTGCACCATTTCTGCAACAACACCGCTTCATGTTGTCTTTTGTATCAGTATTAGTTGAATGCTATTAGCTACCAGGTCCATCCAATGTAGCTCTACATTCATCATCAAAAAGATATCAAGATAGGAGTTTACAAAATTGTTTACCATTCTGTTGGAGTCTGATCGAAAGTTTACTTATGAAACAATGTACGAATCAAGTTTTCCTGGTAATATTTAAATTCAGTACGTGGTTTCGTCATATGATTCTTTGATTTGTGTTTTTACGGCTTGTCAACCCTTTGTGGCTTATTTAAAGCCGAAACGTATTTTGGATTGTAAGAATAATTCTTTTTTTGCAAGTGAATATTTCATTAATTTTTAGGGAGAATAACAATAATTTTTCAAGATACAAATCCTACTTTTAACTCATAGGGGGGGGAGATTTTTTTTTATTTAGCGATTATCCACCCAAAACAAGGCTCAAGGGCCACTGAATCTACTGTTTATCAAAGGAAAGGGAATGGTTTACCAATATGAACATGATACGGTGGGTCCTAATGTTGAATGTATGAACCAAGGAATGTAACTCGTCCAAGCACCTGCCATAGTAAAAGCGATAGAATAGTGAGAGGCTAGCAATGTTTCATCTGTGGGATGAGAGTCGAGAGGGTGGAGAATAATTTATCACCCTCAAGGACGTTTAAGCGCTTTTGACCTACGTCAAAGCTACAGAGTAAAGATTGTATAGCATCAGCTCAGATATGGTAGCAACACTTCAAACTTGGTTTGATGTGACTCTTGTAAAGACAGAGAATAGTAACATGAGTTAAGGTGTTTTTAGAAGCCATACAAGGAACCGATCATTTTTTCTGCATCTTTTACGATTACACGAATATTTTCCCTCTGTTGATTTCCTGGTTGTTCTTTATTCTTTTAACGTTGTGCATACATTTTATACGTTTGTCCTCGATTGACACCGATGAGCGAGGATCGAGATCCGATTGGCCACATTTTTGTTGTTTTCTTCTTTCCTGTCGTTATTGTTTCGATTCTCCTCTTTACGGCGATTTAAATAATAATAATAATAATAATAATCATTTCACCCCAAACAAGGCGATAATGCCACTAGGACGCAATAGATTACTAGGAGTGGAAGAGAATAAGGAGACTTTGGTGAGGATAACAAGAGAAATTAAGTGAGGAGCAAGAAACCAGAAGAAAGTTCCACAGGCGAGAAGTGCGATAAAATAAAATCTTAGAAGAGAAAATGCGATTACATTAGCGAGTTCAAAAGATTTCATTTACAGTTAAGTTAGTCAGTTTTGTGCCATACGTGACACGACAGATTTTTTTTCCCGCGATAGACAAGTTGCCATTCAAGGCTATAAAACCCTACTATTTACTCAACGCTGGGGAGAAGAGGATTCATACCTTTCCCAAGGGTATTAGCACGTAAGTGAATGTAATGTATTCTACTGGAATTCGAACTCGGATCTCCGATTCCACGATCCGAGCCGTTATCCAATCAAGTGAAGTAAATACTATTTATTTTATTATCTTTGCCCTTCTTTCCTACGTTTGTTGTATTATTTTTTCTTATTGTTTTATAAAATTATATTCAATATGTCCGTTTTTATAGCATTAATAAAGTTTTGAACGCATGTATAAACTGTTTAAGCCTTAAAATATTGCAAAGCAACACACTGATTTGTTTTCTATGGCTTGATAAGCAGATAAGTTGATAGCCAGAATTTTTCTTTTAGAATGTGAGAGTTCACTTTGAGATACTAATGTTTTAGTGATACAAGTCTTACTAATTAACCCATAGCTGCGAGAGGAAGGAGTGCATTCATGCCTTTCCCAAGAGTATTTACGCGTAAGTGAATATAATGAACCCCCAAGAACTTGAACTCGGCTCCTTGACTAACAATTACGAGTCATTATCTATTAGACCACCCGCACATCCACGCTTACAGCATCTGGTATTTTCAAGCGGTCACCCATCTAAGTACTGACCAGGATCGACGTTGCTTAACTTCGGTGCTCGAACGGGAAGTGATGTGGCCGTAAACATAAAACTTTGTAGAGAGAGACTCTCGTTTGGTGCTATTTCTAAATGAAAGAACCATCTGTTCGAATGTGACCGATGGTCGTCTGTCAGTTCATTTCAAATAGGTTGATGCTCATGTTGGTACATTCTAAATGATTCCTATGATGCTAGTGATGATAAACAATGAACGCTGGAATAGGGTGTTCGTGAAAAGCACTCAGACACCCATTCATCATTGCCTCTGAAGTGGAAAGAGGAGTGCAAAGGGTCGGTTGAAAAACAGACCTCAGTTTAATTGCCTCCGCCTTGACGTAAGATGGAGACGGTTTTAAACCCCAAACTTGTACGCTGAAAACTTTTCAAGTCTCGCGGTTTGTTTCATGTGGCGAGACAGCCCCGACCTCAAAATTTACGGCCCGGGGATTACGGCACTTACTTGTCTTTGCAGAATATCCGGTCTTTCTCCAAAGTGCGGGTGGTAGGTGTGCTGATTCTCAAGCCACAGACGATAATTCTCAGAGGATTTGGACGTAACTCTTGCTCGTATAACCGGAACCTTTTGCAAGTTCATGCCGTGCGTGACCGGGTTTTACGTAACATTTGATCGTAGAACCTTAGAAGAATCGTAAAGGAAGAAGAGAGATTGCCAGTATAATAAGTGTGTGTCTATTGGGTAATAATACGGGGCGTGGTTAAAGTGAGAAAAAGAGAGAAAGAAAAAAAAAAAAGAAACAGCGTGAAAGGCACAAGCAAATCTGAAAGAAGTCGTTAAATAAGAAGGAAATTTTAAAAATAAAGAAAATACAGTCGGAAGCAGTGGTGAGGTTATTTAATTAAATGTATGAAAATAAACTCCTAAAAGTAACTGCAGTTATATTAATAATGCTGTTGATATAATTTAATGGTAGGTGCGTCCGTTTTTATTTTTTATTCTTTCTAATGAAACTACGTATATAATCCTCAAGAGAGGGAAACGTTGCGCCTAATCAGGCTAAAGTTGTTCGCTGATATGAAGTGGAAACATTATGTTGAATCAATTGTTTGGTCTGCATACAGATTTTCTTCTCAAGTTGAAAGGTTATGACATTTCTGGACGAAATTTAGAGCTGGTCAAGTTTTTCTGATCAAATCGGGGAATGAATGTTGTTATGAACTGCAATCTGAAAATCTTTTTGCATTAATACAGACGCCCCTCCCCAGAGCTATATTCTTGGACCTACTTTGTTTCTAATTGCCATAAACGACCTTCCCGATGTCATCAGTTCTCAACTCGGCATCTATGAAGATGACACAACTATTTACTCCTGTCTTAATAGTAAGTTTGGTCAGTTCCAGAAGTTCAAATTGATAACTAATATGAAAAATATCAATCCATTGTTAACTGGGGTAAGGAATTGCTTGTTAATTTTAACGCCTTATAAACGAAACTGGGCTCTTTACACGTCTGAAAGAACCTTTTTTGACTTCGATCAGCATGGCTGATCTTAACCTCCAGGAGAGTGACTCCTTGAAACTTCTTGGGCTAATATTTTCTGCTGACGTAAAGTGGAAGATTTATACTGAATCAAATGCTAGATTTGTTGCTAGGAAAGTTGGTTCATTGTGTCGTGTTAGACAATTTTTCTCGCACAAATTTGCTTTACATATTTATATCTCTACCATTCATCCTTGCTTTGAATATTGCTGCGACATCTGCTCTAGTGCTCCTATTATGTATTGAGAGATTCTTGATAACATCCAAAGAAGAATCAGCAATCTTTAGTGGCCTTCCCACAGTCGTAAGGTAGCTTCCCTGTGCGTTTTCTATTAACACTTTCCTGGTAATTGTTCTGATGAACCTTTCTCTCTTTTTATTCTCCATCCCCACAGACAAATTGTACATATGAGAAATAGTTAGGACTTCGTAGAGACTCTGAGGTATTATGGTGACTGTAGTAAGAATGGTAAGTAAGAATGTGCTGTTTTGCTGTAAGTAAAACTGTGGTATATTTGAGTCAATAACTGGGATTATAACACAGATTAAGACCAAACTTTCCCATTCCCCCTTTTTTGCCACATTTCTTGTAAATAACGAGAATAAATATCACTTTCCTCTATGGTATCTAGATTTTATGAATTTAATCGCAGTACTAGTTTGGCGGTAAGGTCTCCAGTTGAAATGGCTAGATGTAACCGTAAGTTCTATGCTAGCAGTTTCTTCTATCGCAGTTATCACTTGTGGATCGCTCTTCCAGCTTCTTGCTTCTCACTCAACTTTGATCTTCAAAAATTTAAATCTAATGTCAATCGCTATCTTCTGTCTTATTAATTCTTGTTCTTTTATTGTTCTCTTTCTTAAATAATGTTTTCTTATATTCTCTCACGCTCTATAACTCCTTGCGTCTTGGGAGCCTTATTGCCTTAGGGTGAAATTCACCTTTCTTAATTTTTTTGTAAAAACGAGCATTAATAAAAAGTTCTTGGACTAAACAAGAATCCTCAAATCAATAATGATTTTTGTCAGATTTTAGCCAGACAATGGTTTTTAGCATCCACTTGTATATTATATAATAAAATAAAACTGACATTTCCATGACCAGTATCAAATCAGCATATTATCACAAAGTTGTAGTTATATTTTGGAATACAATTCCATTTCTTTAAGAAATTTTAGGATATTTTATAGATTAATGCTCTGAAAAAAGTTCTTTCGTGTTGTTTGTTTGTTTGGTTGGTTATTTAATGCCGAATTCTAAATATTTTGAACGAAATTGCCTGCCTTCAACTAAATATTTTGCATACAATTGTATGCCTTCAAAAAAAGATACAATGTATTGTTGGTCATTTTGCTATAAATAGGTATTGTTTGGTATTATTTGTAATCTTACTGTAAAACTATATTTTTATTCTTTCACAGAGTTTTGTTTTATGTCATAGGAGTTCCCTGTTTGCCTATAGCTGGGGCCCTAACTGGTGCTACTACCCTTAATCAGGGTGAACATGGGAACAACAACAATTAAGAGGTGGTTTCACACGCCTCAAAATCTCCAATCACCCGATCAGAGGCCGAGCTGCCAGATGTACCCAGGACAATGAATGAGAGAGAGAGAGAGCGAGAGAGAGAAAGAGAAAGAGAAAGAGAGAGAGGAAAATAAGGAGAGAGGAAGATAAGGAGAGAGAGTCAACTGATGAAAAAAGTCGAAAAGGTTATAAACGAAGCGTTTTGTCGGCGCCCGTGGGACAACAGGTCGTGGTTCACACTCGACCTGCCGGTGGACCACGCCACATCGACAGACTACGCGGAAGCGAGGAATAGTCGAGTTCATTTGGTTCAACTTGGTGAAATTGTGGTCCTCCTAACCCGTTGTATCCCAGGCCGTGGTGCGCTCCACAAGCCGACCACTCCGCGAGTTCACTTGGTCTGTTCGACATTGTGACTTATGACCTGACCGTCCGTATCATTATGTATGATGAGGGACTGAAATTTATTGTCGAGAATTGATAGATTAGCGTACTCTAAATTCATTTTCTTCTTACTGACTCCTATTTCGTCCTGGTAAGAAAAACAATTAAATATCTTCAAATATATATATATCAGATGAAATATGGATTAAATCCGACAAATATTTTGATATATTTTCTGTTTATACGTTATTTTTATGGAAACAAGTTATTTGAGGAAATACTCTTTTTTTAAAATTAAACACCAATACCAAATCAGCATATCATCACAAAGCTGTAGTTATATTTTGGAATACAAATCCATTTCTTTAAGAAATTTTATGATATTTTATGGATTAATGCTCTGAAAAAAGTTCTTTCGTGTTGTTTGTTTGTTTGGTTGGTTATTTAATGCCGAATTCTAAATTTACATTTATCGGCCGGAATGTTCGAGAATGTGGCTGACTGGTCAGACAGCACGTCAAGCTATATGACGGTTTCAGTATAGGATGCCGGTTCAATTCCTGTCGGAGAACGCGTACTTTCTATATTTTCTGTTTCTTAAACATTAAGGCCGGTAAATTTAATGAATACTGTTCAGTTAAAAACAGTGTATTTACTTAAATTGTATCTATAAAAATAACGTATAAGCAGACAATTTATTAAAGAATTGTCGGGATTAATCCATTTCTTTACGTCAAGACACGTTTCGTGAGCAGATATGAATATAATCAATCGAGAAAAATCGTCGTAGATTGTGTGTCTATAAACAGTAATTTGGACTTTGTTAACGAGACGATTCTTTGTAGCGAAATGGTATAGTAGTGATTTTCCAAGCGTAGCTCAGATGTGGCACAAGGCCGAAAGTATGGAGCACCCAGCGAGACAAGCTTGCTAGCCATTACACCACGCCGAGGTGCCCCCACGAAATGGTATAGTACGTCAGATCAAATGACGGTTTCCGTATTGGATAAACGTTTGATTCCTGTCGGAGAACGCATATTTTCTACGAAAGTTCTCGAACATTCAGGCCGCTAAATGTAATTAAAATGTTTAATTAAAAAAAAAAATTGATTATCCAATCAAATAAGTTGTATACATAAAACATAAGAGAAAATATATATTTGAAGACAGCGATTCCGGCAGAGGTACCAACATTTTTCTCGATTTAAAAATGTCTATTTTTTTTTCTTTTACAGAAGGCTAAATGTTTTTTTTTCGAATTTCTTGCAGTGTTTTTATTATGGGATATTTTCATTATTGTTATTTCTAGTCATATTTTTAAATGCACTCTAATGATTTTATACACAGTTTTATACAGAGTAATGATTTTCTATTGAGCTGGTCACTCGTATTCAATCCCTATTGTAGAGGCAATAGGGATTTGCATTTATTCAACACTCACAGAGCCGACCTGTGGTTTATACTGCAACTGAGCAGACCGTAGTTACATTTTCTGGGAACATGTTATCTAGTGTGATCAAAATTTGAACAAGGCCAGCACGCTCAATCCCTCGGCCACGATGACATGTGACTTCGTGCTAATACAGCTATTTCACTCACCAGGTTTGAATCAAGCCGTGGCATGTTTTTGGCACTTTCCAAAGGTGCCGCTAGGATCGACTTCTCCAGTCCGATAACACTAGGAGGTCTTCTTCCTGACAAATCGAACATGGCGCTAACCGGGCACTCATGGCCAGAATGCGAACGTTCTAAGCACTCGGACCCGTGCCCGCTTTCTGTTATAGCTTTTATAAATACACTAAAACATTTTGCATGAATAGGCGCTGCTGAAATGAGTGTGGTTCTAATATGAATATCTTTCATACTATCAAATACGGCAAGTTTTATCAGTAGGAAATGGAAAGGTTATTATACTTGCTCAATTTTCCTGTCATCTTTTCTAAGAATTGATACATTTCAAATGCCTAAATATGACAAGCAAAAATTTCCCCAACTAGGATGAGACTGAACAAATTTTCAGTTCATTCATCGTTTGAGAATTTTTTTTTTTTTTTTTAGAAAGGAATTGACGAAATTCTCTCAAAGTGATTAGTGGACTAAATAACCCGGATATTTTTTTTTTATTGGGCAATGAGGTCTGGCATTTAAATATTTACGCAGTTTCTGTCATAACGGTTGACGTGTGGCTCATAAGGCGACCGACAACGTGATGCAGTGCTACAAAACATTTTATTTACGTTAATAATGCGAGGACATTGCTCTTTCAACTTACGCCCACGAAGCAAACGTAATGCGACACAAGGTCGCGTTTAATGTGCGTTTATCGGCAGTAGCGTGGAAAAAATTCTCAAACCCCTCTACACTTCTCAGGTTCCGAGTTATAACCCTAGTCATCTCGCGAAACAGAGGTACTGTGTTTTGGACTCTCGGGGCCTGAGATAATATTATTGGCAGAATAGTTCGTTCCTCTGCCGGCAATTAATACGAAAATTTAATTGTCTTACTGGATGTTTCAGTACGCCCAAAGCGCTACCGAATTTAACTCAAGGTAGAGATTTCAAGTCGAGTTAACGGCAATACCGAGGAAAATTGCCCAATCACCATCGGTACTTTTTTTTTTACCTTAGCGCTGGGATTTGAGCTAATATTGTATCATATGGGACTTTACTCGTCTTACTGGCCCCATTCGACTTGCATGGAGATAACCAACAGTTGCATATGCCCGTAAAAATAACGAAAAAGATTTTTTTTTCACACGATAGAATAGTCTCCTTCCTTGTCAATGACCTTAATTCAATATAATTCGTTGAACATTAGGAAGTACAAACTTCAAATCAACAATAAGCCAGTAATTGTATCAGACTACAAACTTATTGATACTCCATCGTTTCCCAACTGGTGTGTCACAGAAACCGTCTTGATATTTGAGTTGATTTGTTTTGTTTGTTTAGCGGCATATCAACTCCTCATGGGTCATTTAATGCCGAAATTTAATTTTCTTGGAAGCTTTGAAGTAATAAAAATATATCTTATTCTGCTTTCACAAGTGAGTAAATGGTAGATGATACTCAGCCTTTGTGCATATGCATGTTTGTTAGAGGCGGTGATATGTGTGTTTTATGTTGTAGTTTTGTTGAAGTTATATTTTGGAATACAGTTTGATTTCTTTTAGAGATTGTAGGATATTACATGGATTAATGTCATGAAAGAGTTCTTTCATGTTGATTGATTTTGTTTAGCAGCATATCAAACTCTATGGATTATCTAAAGCCAAATTCTAAAGATTTTGAACGCAATTGTATGCCCTGAACAAGAGAGAATATGTATTGTTATTTTACTATAGATATGGTATGGTTTGTCATGTCTTTATTATATAAATACACTTTTATACTTATCATAATGTTTTGTTTGTGTTTGTGGGCTCACTATTTGCCATTAACTGGGGCCCTAACAGGAACAACAGCAATTAAGAGGTAGTTCACACTCCTCAAAACCTCCAATCTCCCAATCAGAGGACTTGTTGCCGGATGTAGTTTATCGTCATACCCAGAACTATCTTGATATCTGAAGGAAGAATGTGTAGCGCCAATTCTCTTTGAATAGTACATGCTGCTTAAAAATTAAGCATTCGCAGTGGGGTGGGGTGTGTTACGAATGATTACTTGACTCTTCGTTACTTCACATTTTATTCACTCTAATATTCCGTCAGTGATTCTAAGTCAGTTTGTGGTATGCAACAATCGGGTTTGTCCGCTCTTCCTTTGCGGAACTTGATAGTCATCATCTGTGGTGTGTGCGTGTGTGTTTCTCGTTCAGACGCTTGCAATCCCGGATGCAGATGTGAGGTCACGCACTTCTGAATTCGATGACTCTAACTGGTTTCCTTTATCGGTCTGCTTTGAAATATTGAAAACTCTAGATTTTTTTTTATTGATTTGATTTTTTACGGTTTATCAATCTTTTGCGAGTTATATAAAGTCAGAAAATATATTTTTTTTTAAATTATAAGTATATATCTTAAATTATAAGTATTCTTTGGAGATAACAACAATTTACTAATACGAGTCCTACTAATTAAACTATAGCTGGCTAGAAAAGATGTGGATTCATAACTTTCCTAAGGTTATTTGCATATAAATGAACCCGACTGGAATTAAAACTCAGCTCTCCTGTTACTTATTATAAGATAAAGGTTTGGAAAGTAGTTTGTCAGAACACGCGCCATGGATATAGAGATGGCGTAGTGAGAGGCGAGCAACGATTCGTCTGTGGGAAATGGTTGCAGTGGGAATATGATTCATCACCCACAAGGCAGCGTAAATGCTTTTGAACTGTCATGGCTCCCGCACAAATATGAGAGAAATAAACAATTATATTTAAGCTATATATCTATATCCTGGATTTTATTCGGACTCTACTCTTTTCGAGGAGAGTTGCAAGTGCTACTTGATCAGGAGATGAAATAAGACCGGCATTCACGTTTTCAGTATTATCTGAAGCGATATCAACAGTGGGCTAGAATCTATTGTATATTTCATGAGTGGAGTTTTTCAAGAGGTCTTGGTTGCATGAGGCTTCCTTACAGTCAAACTGTTTCATGGGGTGTGGTTTGGCTCGTTTGGATGAACTAAGGTAAAGTTTGATGGCAGCGGAGATGAATCTATGGTCGAAATCAACAGAGCTGAAGGACAAATAGGATCAAGAATCTCGAACACGATTCCTCTACTTTTTTCCCAAAGACCAGATAATCAATCTGAACACTTTAACCAAAGGGGTACTCAAATGTCCACAGTTGACCTCTAGGCTTCATGAGGCTGGTGTTTGAGCGGAAGCTGTTGAATTCTTCCATGAAGCCCGAGGTATTCCCCGTTGTGATTTTTCACTTTGTTGAAGGTGAGCTTTATTTCATCAGGACCTAATTTGGCCTTCAGGTCACCAGTAATAACTAGAAAGTTATGTAGAAGTACTTGTTCTACAGTGGTACGCAAAGTTGTATAAAAGTCTTATATCTCGTTCAATTCAAAGGAATTATGAGGGCTGTAAACATATATCACGGTTGTTTTAGGACTGCCTTTCAGCTCAAATGCTAACATTCTGGGGGAGATTGACTCGACGCCTAAGAGATTGTTACTGGCTCTAGATGAAAGAAGAAAGCCAACACATCCAAAGGTGGCATCTAAGGAGCTGACAAGTTAGTAAGATCCTGCTTGATATTTCAAGATGTCCTTAGGATTGCGGAGGCGGTGTTCTTGGACCGAAAGTATATCTGTGATTTTGATGCTTATGATTTTGCATTCTCGGCTAGCTCTCCAAGGCGGCCTAGAGGGCCGAATGTCCTTGCATTCAAGCAGCTGAAAGTTGCATGCTTTTTACAGCTTACAATACGAGTGAGATTGATGGACCTGACACATCCACTATCAAGAGATGCCCGTCTGGTCAGATTTGAGGCTTCGCCATCATTCCATACTCTTACATCATGATCAGAGCTAGGACCCGTAGAATCTGGGATCAACCTTTATACCGTATGGTTCCCTGGGGAATAGGAACCCCGGTGCAGTTAATTGTAAGGTCCATGATCTTTTCAAATGGATGATAATGTGTGTGGGTGCCACTAATATACACATGATGGAAAGAATCAAGCAACCAAGTTCTAAAGGTCTTTCCTCCTTCATGAAGTGGATTATCCGGCGACAATTACCAACCTGATATTTATAGCCTTGTCTTATTGTTTGTGCTGCAAACACTAGAATAGTTGCTGACCAAAGCTGACGGGACTATTTTACCCGACTGGAACAGGTAGTACTGGTTTACAGTTTACCAGCAGCAGGACTAGAGTTAGTTCTGAACCATCCTGACCAACCTGACCTGACTCCCAATATCCAGCAACTCCTCGCGCGTGGTCGAATCAAGAGCCAAACATAAAACTATCTCACAATTCTACCACCAGTCCCCATCTCAGGCAAAGAAGATACAGCAGGTAATGGCCAAATGGGAAGGTGATGATACCTATCTTTAAGTTGAATCTAACCACATCAACAGCAAGATAGATGGCCCTTCAAGACAGCACATCAGCAAGCAACATCACCTAGCCTGGAAAACTGCAAAAGACCTCTCCGGTAATAATTCTGGCTCTAGTATCAGAATCAAGGGAGTATCCGCCGAGAAACTTTTCAAAAACTGGTTAAACAATTTCAATAACTTACTTGGCAAAGAAGCGAGGCTTCCTGAGAGCTGTACACTCCAAAGTGAACAAATCTCGGATCCCCTAGAGATCGACACCTTTCCCCCTTCTTGATAAGTGAGCTTAAAGCAGGAACTAAAACCTCAAAGGTTCCAAAGTATTTGATCCAGACTACAAACCAGCCCTTATCTGGAAAGATGAGCATTTTCAACAGCTCCTACCCAACCTTTGTAGCCAGAACTTCTCAACATTCTAAGGTCCAAACATTTGACACAAATCACAGATCATTCCTATGTCAAAAATGGGAACCTCTCTCTAGCAACCAACTATAGAGTAACCTCACTGATGCCAATTGCTGCCAAGGTGTATAATAAACTCATCCTTAACCGCTTATACCCTTCGTTGGGCCTGACCTCCCCCCCCGAATAACCAAAGCGGCTTTACACGTGGCAGATCTACCCTAAGCCAAATAATGTCTGCGCAGACTTATTAAGGAATCTGAGCTAAGCAAACTAGACCTTGCATTGGTTTTCGTTGATTTCTCAAAAGCTATTGACATATCTAAAATGTTTGAGATTCATAAACTTTATAGAGTTCCTGACAAAATGATTGACGCCATCAGCTTTATGTACACAAACACCTCATCAACCGTTCTCACTCCTGATGGAGAAACGCCACCTTTACCGTTAGAGCTGGAATACTCTAGGGTGATACACTTGAACCCTTTCTGTTTGTTATTGTTGTGGATTATGTGCTTCGTATGTCAGTTGACAATCTGCAAGATAAGGGTTTCTAACTATGCTCCGTAAGAAGCACTCGCTTTTTATAGATAATGATTTCCCTGATTTAAAATTGCTTATCAGTCAATCTCTAGAGAATACGCAACCTCTACTACAATCTCTTGAGCAAGCCTCCGACTGCATAGGTCTCTATTTCAATGTGTCAAAAACTGAATACATGAACAGATGTACAGCCAAAAATGACCATCCTATAAAATTCCTCAATAAAAGCAATTTGAATCAAGTTGAGGATTACAAATATCTAGGATCATTCTTCTTCTCCTTGAAAGATTTGCAAACTAGGAAGGGTATGGTATGGTCTGCCTACAATGATATGAACAATATCTGGGTATCGCAACTGGACAGAAAACTCAAGATCAAAATATTCAGAGCCGCTGTTCAGTCGATTCTACTCGATGGCTCAGAGACATGGGCACTCTCTAAAGACATTGAGAAACCTCTGGATGGAACCTACAACCGTCTTCAGATGAGAGCACAAAACCTCTCTTGGAAACGCCATCCGACCATCCACCAGATCTACGTCAGTCCTTTTTGTGTTTCTTCTCTCATACGACCTCTTCGAGTACAGTTTGCTGGCCACTGCTACCGTGCCGAGAATGGAGTTGTCTTCTCTCTCCTTCTCTGGAAGCCTGCGTCAAATCTGACCAGAGGCAAAAAAAGTGTGATCCCTTGACGTCATCTCAAGAGATGCAGGCATTAGTAGGCGAGACTTGGGAACAGCAATGAAGGACCGAGAAGTCTGGCGTAGCGTCGTGGACTCTATGATCTCGACTTCGGTTAACACATGATAATGATATCCATATCTGTTATAACTATTCTTTTATCGTAGCTGACTTACAAAGGGTATGGTTAAAATGGAGGTTTTAATCTTCGTGTTTTCATTGTTGACTTTGTCTTTTAGAGTCTAATGCATCCGGGGAGGGGGACATTTAAACATCCCTTTTGAATTCAGCAAAACTGATTGTAATTGGAACTCGAATTTCCGATTCCGAACCATCCAAACTTATATCATATGACATTCAAAAGTAGTCACCCATCTCAGTACTGACCAGATTCGACGTTGCTTAACTTCTGTGATCGTACCTGAACAGGTGTTTCCATGTGATATGACCGTAATCTTGAAAACTGTACAGCAGTGATTTTAACCTGTTGGCCTGTCCATAAAAAATACATAAAGGAAATATTAATCATACTATCACTTTGCCTAGTCAATAAAAGTAAATAAATAAAAATTAATTATAGCGCCAGAAATAAATATAATGAAGTAATTATAACAATTATAATTATCATTCATTCACTCTTCCTGAACCAATGAGAATCAATCCCACTTTTCTTTCTACACACACACACACACACACACACACACACACACATATATATATATATATATATATATATATATATATATATATATATATATATAAACAAACACACGCACGTGAACTTCTCATTATCGGACAGGCAGTTAACACGGATAGGCTGTCACCACGTGCGTCAACGAAAATTTCAGCTCATTTTTCTTCTTCAGGACATAATAGTAACATTTATCCTTTAGCCTCCAACAAAAATTGATGTAAGAAAGCCCAAAACATTTCTTGTATTTCCAAACTGAATTATCTGGACCTTAATTACACACATCTAGTTTAAAAAAAAAAAATAAGGATTGTGTACACTCTCCTTACTCTTTATCTTCTTCTGTTGGATTCCGAGCCATATTTAATCTCCAAATTCACAATTTTACTCAGTGTTTTACTGTCTCTCGTACTTCAAACACCACATACCAACGAGATAATAAATAATACTCGTTTTGCTGCTTCCACGTTTTACTGTTTCTCATTTGTTAGGAGTATTTTTGCATATATAATATGTAAAGTAGATGAGGATATGAGAAATGAGGTCGCGCGAAACGTCCATACAAGGTACGATTCGACAAGTACTTACCGATGAAAACCAATATATGCCGAAATCACCCGAAGTTGATTTCCGGAATGGCCCAGAAATCCTTAAATGTGCAAGTATTGAATTGTGCCCGAGGTAGTGAGGACGTGTAGTGTGTACTGAACGTATTTTTTTCATTTTTTTTTTATTACAGAGGGTTCATTTAAAAGGAACAAGTTTTTAATTAAGAAATAAGAATCAGAAAACGAGGCTAATGATTATTATAATGCAAGTGTGTCGCGGAAGTTTAACTATAGGTTCAAATCTACTGTGAGATTTTATCTCACAGGTTAAAAAGCATTAAAAGGTTAAAACTTTTAGGCTAAGGAATAGGACTTAACGATCTGTGGTGGATTGATGGGAATCAAATTTGGCCTTGCAAAGATATTGAATTCGTCCATAAAGAGAAAGGAAAAAAAGAAAAGAAAAAACGATATATACTTTAAATCCTAAATGTTATAATACAGAAAAAAAAAGGTTGAAAAACATTCTAGATCAGCGTTTCTCAACCTTTTTACCCTTACGTAACCCTTAAAATAAATTACATGTCTCAAGGAAACCCTGCACAAAAACAAAAAAGTATGTTAATCTATCATTTCTCCCACGGTTATGGCAAAGCAGAGTGGATTTTCTAGTCAGACTAGGAGAGGAAAAAAACTCTGAATTCAAAACCATGTCCAGGGCCAACAATGAGAAAAGGAAGAAGCAAAATCATTTATATTTGCGTTGAAAATGCTATGGTTCCCGAGACCCCTGCAATTAATTTACAAACAGGATATTTCGGTCTGTCGTCTGTTCTTACTAAATTAGTACCCAGTCATTGAAGCATGAGAAAAACTTGAAATAAATTGAATAAAAATAAAAACTAAGTTTTAATTAGTTAAAAACTAATTTTTAAAACGATGCAGTTAGTGTTCAAACCATGCATTCATATATTGTCAAGTAATGTAACTTTTTAAAAAAAATGACAATGAAGTTTTTAACATTACCAATCGCCTAAAGGCACAAATTAATAAATATGGCAAACAACGCGGAGATTGGATCCCTGAAGGTACACAAAAAATTATGAGTGAGTATTACCTCGGTTACATATACGGGAACGTAAAAACACAAAGATCTAACGGTATGTCACATCCCATAAAGAAAGAAAGAAAGAAAGAAAAAAGAAAAAAGAAAGAAAGAAAGAATGAAAGAAAGAAAGAAAGAAAGGTGGTTAGTTTACCAAGTTATATTTTCTAGCTACAGGGCCAAAAAATGAATAAGAAAGTTGTGTTACACTAATTCTCTAAATAAAAGATTTTGCCAGTCTTTGCAAATCTGTAAGCTAGTATCTTGAAGCCTAATGAGAAGTCAGCAAAATCGATCGGAATCCATGCAATTCGATATTAAACGCATGTTTCTAGTCATTCACTGCACGTCACCCTCGACTCATCAGATGTTTCGTGACAGGAACATTTTGTAGTTTTTTGCAGTTTACACGACTTTGTACTAAAAAAAATTGCGATGAATAACTTCACCCAAAACGAGGCTCACCATCTACTTGCCGCATGCACATAAATCTGTCCAACATACTGAGTATGTTGGAAGGTATAGTTCTTTATTTACCTTATTTACCTTAAATGCTTCTCATTTTTTCACGCTTCATTCCACCCATTTATACAAAGCAGAGCATAGTTGAAACGATCGGTCACTGAAAGAAAAGATATCGTCTTTGAGCATTTCTCAAGCGGGGTGCCCCGGAAGCCTAAGGTTCCGCAAAAGATCCCCATTTGACGTTTTATTTAATTTTATACACGTAATATTACTAAACCCGGAATATATTCTTGGTTATTGATTCATTTTCTTAGCCATTTATTGGTTCACGGGACATTTTGCCTTGATTTACCTTACGTCTTTTCAATATTGCCAGTAAAACTGATGCAGCAAGTATTTGTTTTTCGTTCTGTTTACATTTATATTATAGGTATAGGATATTGGTTACTTATATTATAGGTATACATACTTATAGGTATATATACTTATATTATAGGTATAGGATATTGGTTACTTATGATTATTTTTTTACGTTTGAGTTTAGATTGTGTGTGTGTGTGTGTGAATGAAAAATCCCTGATGACGTATCACAAACGAAAAGTATGAATTTTATTTAACATTACCGTAAAATTGAGGTTGAAATTAATGTAGAAATGTGTTAAATTATTTGTAGAAGTGCTGCTGATAGGGTTCAATGTTGTATTGAACACGAAGCGGAGAATTTTGAACATGTTAAATAGCTTGTTAATCGTAACAAATGTTGTTTTCATGTGACAATACATATTTTTTATGCTATTATAATTTTTTTCAATAAAACTTGAATAAAAAGGGCATTACTTTTGCTGCACCACGCACACACACACACACACACACACACACACACATATATATATATATATATATATATATATAAAGGAAACGCCTAGTTAATGAAATGATGTCCTGTCTTCTTTATTCACACACACACACACACACACACACACACACACACACATATATATATATATATATATATATATATATATATATATATGAATAAAGAACAATTAAGATATATATATATTTTTAACATACAACGTGTGTTAGCACGTACGATACCCTGTCTTCATCAGCTGCTGACTAGGGGTGATCTCACGGTTTCGGTGGCTATAGCGGGACCGAAACCGTGAATATATATGAATAAAGAACGATTTAGATATATATATGTGTGTGCGTGCGTGAATAATCAAGACAAAACACAAATGAACCAGGTTAAAACCGATGAAAACAAACGAGGAAAAACAATGAAAACAGACTAAGAAAGCTGCACTCTAGCCAAAACCTGACAGTGCCGTATACATTTCAGGCGCAAAGTGATCCTCAGAGGATTTCTTCTCAAATTACTTAACAATGGAAACTATTAGATACAGTAATGGCCCGTATCTTTTACGTTTTTGATTATATATTTCGATCCAGTAGAGCAACCGTGGATATGATCTTTTGTCTCCGACAGGCACAGAAGGCACGAGAACAAAACAAGGATCTATTTGTTGTTTATGTAGACTTCGCAAAGGCTTTCGATACTGAATCGCGAATTGCACATTGGAAAGTGTTATGGGACCTTACCCATAATAACATAATGGACTATTCCATACGTAATAAATACTGCGCCTCAAGAGGAAGCAGAGAGTTCAGTCTGAAGTCGGGCGACCGGCTGACCGGCTGATCGGTTGAACTGTCTGCTTTCGGGCAGGGAGGAACCCGAACGAGGCTACGCCGAAGGGCGGAGTCTCTTTCGGGGAGGTAAACCGATCCTAAACCCGTTTATACGGGTTCAATGGGCATATTTTTGGCCGAGCCCACGGGCTCGGAGATCCCATGTTAAACTGGCCTTGTGCCACATGTTGCCCTCGTGGTGGCGGGGGGGGTGACTAAATACCGTTCAGTCTGAAATCTGGAGTGAAGTCCGTCAGGAGTCTGGCAGTCAGTCAGAGCAAGTGAGTCAGTCAGTCGAGTCAGAGGCAGTCCGAAACAGAGTCGCGTTCAGACAATTACTACTAAATCTGATCGTTCGTACTAACACTTTCTACTTCTCTGTATATATTCCTGGTTGTAATATATCTGTGTTATTCCATATCCGTGTTCGAGTTCTTCTTTATTGGTCCTACCTTAGACTATCACCGTGGTACAAGGAACCGGACCATAACAGAAAGTTTTGTCAAATTTAGGTGTTCCAGAATAAAGGCTCCATATTATTATTTTCTTTAACGAAAGAATGAAAGCTTTTGTAAGGTCGGGAAGTGAGCAATCGGAAGACTTTTTCGTCTCCAACGGTACAAAGCAAGGTTGCCTTCTTGCTCCTCTTCTCTTTCCACTTTTCTTTTCTGCTATGCTTGAAAAAAGCATTCTCTGACTTATGTGGAGTTAATGTTAAATTCAGAATAAGTGGAGGTCTATACAATCAGCAACGTTTTAAAGCATAATCGAAACTTTGGTCTGCAGCTGGTATGCGATCTTCTCATTATAGATAATATCGCTCTATTAGCACACAGTCTAGAAGACATTCAAATTATCCTTGATAAATTCTCTGAAGCTGCGAAAGCATTTGAATTCACTATCAACATAAAGAAGACTGAGCTAATGTACCAGCCAGTATCAGGCAATC